GCATATTTGCATCTAACAACAGAGGTCCAAATTACATGAAGCTTATTTGACAGAATTTATGGGAGAAATAGACAATTCAACAATATTAATTGGAGACTGCAATACCTCACTATCAATAATGGATATAACAGCTAAAGAGAAGATCGGCAAGGTAACAGAAGATGTGAACAACACTATTAACCAAGACAGTTCACATATCCCTCTCTCTCTCTCTCTCTCTCTCTCTCTCTCTCTCTAGAGAGATAGATATATGTAACTACAGATATTCTCTCTCTCTCTATATATATATATATGTAGTTGGATCTCTCTCTCTCTATATATAGTATATATCTCTCTATGTAGACATATATAAAATTATATATATTGATATCTATATATCTATATAAAAACATATATCTATATATAAATATCTATATATAGATATATATAATTATACATATATTATATATATAATTTATATAAATTTTATATAAATTTATATAAAACATAGTTATGGCTTTAAGCTATAAGTTTTGGGGGTAACTTGTCATGCATCAGATAACTACTAATATACCCTGAGAAGTGTTCAGTATAAATATTATTCTGGCTTGCTGAGCAGAATATTGACGAACTTCAGACAGTTGTTGCTTGAGCCCATTTATCAAATATGGCCTCTTTATGGATATTTATTTTATTTATTTATTTTTTTATTTTATTATTATTTTTTGAGACGAAGTTTCACTCTTGTTACCCAGGCTGGAGTGCAATGGCGCGATCTCGGCTCACCACAACCTCCGCCTCCTGGGTTCAGGCAATTCTCCTGCCTCAGCCTCCTGGGTAGCTGGGACTACAGGCACGCGCCACCATGCCCAGCTAATTTTTTGTAGTTTTAGTAGAGATGGGGTTTCACCATGTTGACCAGGATGGTCTTGATCTCTTGACCTCGTGATCCACCCGCCTCGGCCTCCCAAAGTGCTGGGATTACAGGCGTGAGCCACCACGCCCGGCCTATGGATATTTATTTTAACAAATATGTTCTTGAGCTCTGAGTGGCTTCCTTGTAAAAAAAAAAAATGAATCTACAATCTTTATTTTTCTTGTTATCTTATTCTTGGATCCTTTCCAAATAGTTGAAGCTGCTTATATACATAGTCTGATTTGAAGGTATTAATTCTACCTCTTCACATACCCATAACACCTAGCACATTTTGCACATCACTAGGTAGTTGATTGCTTAAGGCATCTTCTTTGCCAAAGCCACCTGAATGTTTTTTTTAAAGACAGAAATAATGAAATAAAGAACAGAGAAAAGGTCTCAGTTTTGAATGTGTGCAGTGTGAAGGGTCACATACACATCACTGGTTACTGATTGAAGCTTTGTAACCTTTTTTTCTCTTTTTTGAGACAGAGTCTTGCTCTGTCGACCTGGCTGGAGTGCAATGGTGCCATCTTGGCTCACTGCAACCTCTGCCTCCAGGGTTCAAGATATTCTCCTATCTCAGCCTCCTGGCTGTAGCTGGGACTACAGGTGCATGCCACCACACCTGGCTAATTTTTGTATTTTTAGTAGAGATGAAGTTTCACCATATTGGTCAGGCTGGTCTCAAACTTCTGACCTCAGGTGATCCACCTGCCTCAGCCTCCCAAAATGCTGGGATTACAGGCATAAGCCAATGCACCCGGCCACGTAATTTTTTTTTGAGACAGGGTATCATTCCTGGAAAACAATTTAACTTCAGATAGTCTTGAAGGACCAGAACGATATAGATGGGTAAGAAAAAGGAAAAGGAACTCCAGATGAGAGCAAATTGTCCCACGCTGTGGTATTTTTTTTTTTTAACAGTTTACAGTTGCCAGTAGCTTCCCTATGTAGCAAGTTATCCCCACAGTCCTTTGAAGTGCTTAGAACAGGTATGATTATTCCTACCTACCAAATAGGACATTTTGAGTCAGAAAACTACCTCAGACCTTTCCGAGTTAATTCATGTAAGACATGGGTTGGCAAATGGTAGCAAGCTGCCTGCTTTTTACAATTTAAAATGGTTATATTTTAAATAATTACATAAGAACCTATATAATATTTTTGATTGTGCCCCTTGACCTATGATTAAATATAAATTAAACCCTGCAAAGACTTAAATATTTGCTACCTGTAAGAAAAGGTGTGCTGACTATTAATTTAGGATCTTCATAATGTTTCAAATAAAACATTTTAAACTTATTGTAAAAAATAAATATTTTATTGTAATGAAACCAGATAAAAAGATATGTCACCATTACAATACAATAGTTAAATATGGATCATTCTGTAAGTACAATTTCATCTCTGTGTCTTTTACATCTAAACTTATGCCATGTTCTTCTTGTTATCCATCATTTTTTCAAAAATATATTGATGCTTGCATAATATTCCATTATATGAATATAAAATAACTGATTTATATATTAGCCTGTTGTTGAACATATAGATTCTTCCAATTCTAATTAGTAAAAATAGCAGGTAATAACTGTCCTTGCATATAGGTATTTGTATCTTGCATTGTTTCATTGGTGCAAAGCCCTAGAAATAGAATTACTAGTTCAAAAGTTATGAAATTACCATTCCTAATGGTTGCAATAAATATTGCTAAATTCTTCTCAGAAAGGCTGAACTAGTTCGTTCTTCTAATAGTAGCATATAAAAGTGACTGTCTTGTTACACCAGAGAAAAATCCAGTGTTCCCTTAAATATGTAGCCACCATTATATAGGGGGTGTCTTATTTTATGGTTTTGCTGATGATAATTGACATCAAAATATTTTAGTATTCTTAATGGCATTTTGCATTTTTAATTTCTTCTGTAATTCATGTGTGTGTATATATGTAAGTTTTTTGCTCCTTTTGTTAATGAAATACATCTTGTTTCATAGATTTGCAAACAGTCTATAGATATGATGATACTGATGCTTGGTCTTTGAAATATTTTGTAGATATCTGTTCAAGTATATCATTTTATGGAAAGTTTTTCACTTGATTCTCCTGTGTTTTCTTGATAAAGTGAGTACATTTTAAGATAGAACTGAATGTGTACAAAATATATGCATTTCAAAATGTGTTATAGTGATACATACATTCTTAAACCTGAAAAATCTCTTCTTAAAGATAATATATAAGACAATCATTTACCAATTTGGATGAAATCAGGTGTGTTCATGGTAGTATGGCCATAGACCATTTACCAATTTGGGAGAGTCACAGACAAACCTCTTTGTGGAATTCATCTTCTCTAGGGCAGAATTGTAATGTGTAACCCACTGATGTTCTAGAAAAAAAATATAACAATTGTTCTGGTTTCTTGCTGGGGTACTACATACATATTAGACAGAGGGTGCAGAAATGGATCTGAATGGAAGAAGTAGGGCCATAATGAATAGGTATGAATTCGAACTACCCATGTAATTTCTGCTTATTTACTACAGGTATGTTTGCTACAGATATATGCCTCTGTACTTACAGATCACTGGGCCCATGATCTTATATTAGATTTATCAAATTGACAAGTTTCTGCCTTTGTTTTCTACTCACCAATATCATCCCTCTTTCTAATTAGAGTTCTACTCATTACCTCCTTCATAATTTATGTAGCAGTTGGTAGACACAGTAAACTTGACAGAGTCCAGTAAACTTTTATATGAGAAAAACTGTCAAAACAAATAGAAAGGGAGATATAATCTTTTTACTTCATTGTAGCCTTGAAGTCCTGTTTTAATTTAGGCCTAACTTCTTACCGGTGTTTAAACCCTGTTACAGTTCGAAGTTTGCCTGTTTCTCTCTCTTTCTGCCTTTGTTTTTGTCTTGCATCTGGAAGTATCTGGATAAAAGTTGTGGTTGTAATCCCTTTAATCAGCCTACTACAAATATTTGAATTTCACTTTTAAATATGACTGAAATACAATGAAGAAAAAAGTGATATAGGATGTACTGGTGCAAATGATAAAACTACTGTTAGATTTGTACTACCGATTTCATCTGCTGGGGTAACAGTAGCTCCCTTGGGTGATGTAGGGCTAATCAAGTATTGTTATTAAGCTAGAACCATAGTTCTCCCTGGGATACCAATGGCAGTGGGCTTCCATCAGTGACAGATAGGTCAGGTTCATTCTCTAATTAGGAAATTATCTTCATTTTAGAAGGAGGCTGTGTCTCTACGCTGAAGTGCAGCAGAGGCTGCAAAGAGAAAACTTCCTAAGTATGGATTATTTCCAACCAGCAGAACGAGAATTGTTTTTTTCCATACTGGCTTGGGTCCAAGGACCAAGATCATACTAATTAAGTACATAGAAGAGAATGACCCCAGCCTTCAGAGCTTATTTTACCACATTTTTCAATCTCTTACTGACCCTGGGTGTCTAGGCTATATTTCATGGTAACTATGGCAACATCCCCATTTTTTTGTTGGCTCTCCTGGCACTCTTTTATAGGATTACATGATTTATGCCTCCTCAGTATTTTCCATTTATATTTTACTTCCATGTCTTAAATAAAACATTTAATTGACTGGAATGTGAATTCAAAACCAGTTACATTGCACTGTTTATTGTACCCAAGCCTGTACTTCAGGAATTTAATTTATAGAGAGGTGGTCATGTCGGTAAATACATGACAGGTACTTGGAGATGCTGGTATCTCCTTGTTTTACTAAAACTTGCAGAGCAATGGTACCTCCTGAGCCTGGCTGGCCTAGTTTAGCAGGATTTACTCTATTATGAAGAAAAGAATGTTCTATTCTAAAAGTGATGGGAACTTCCAGTGGTGGTTGAATAATTTGAGAGAAATGTATTACAGATATATATAGCCTTTCCTAATGGCCTTCCTCACATGATGGAATTGGTTTCCTTGGAAGAAAACCTGGGACATCATTCTTGTGTTCATAAAAATGCTCAATAGAAATCAGTGTCTCCATCCTGTGGTGCCATCACAAGCTTTTTATACTATTGTTCAGGCCAGAAATGAACAGGAACAATTATGAAACAAAACAATCTGTTTCCCTAATTCTGAAGAATGGCCTGAAGCCTTCCACTCAGGGTTTAACTGGGCTCTTCTAGTCCCTCCCAGGGCTGGAAGGGATGTCCCTGGTAATCCACAAAGGTGTCCCAGCAGTGCTTAAACTCATTGTATTTCACCATGGAAATTGGGGCCCCAGCTTTGTCCAGCCTGTGCAGGCCCTTTTTATGTCCTCATTGATAATCATAGATGCAGGCAGAGAAGATGCAAAGGCTTATGTGTGGGTTTTCTTGATGGAATTTAGCAACCTCCTGGGCACAGCTGAAGCAGGGGCTCCAGAAGATAAAGCAGGTGACCCTGTAGCACTGGGCTGGGTGCAGCTTCCAAAAGGAAATCGGGTCCAGGAGGCACAGCTCTGCATGGCGGCCTTCAAGGAAACCAGGATTATTTGAAGCCTTGTTGAGTATGATGCCCCGGTACAGGTCCAGCAGGACCCAGGTGCCATTGTGCAGGTGCTCCACCTCGTAACGCAGGTGGGTCTGGTGCTGTCCAAGGACCTAAGGGTCATTGGTAAAGTTGTAAGTGAATAAGCCTGGATCCATCAAGTGTCTGAGAACCTCCCCCAGCATGATGTGCAGTAATGTATAATGTTTAGGCAGCTTATTCCAAGGCTTCTACAATCTTTGGTTGTACATGAACTTGTCCCAACAGTGTTGAAATTCGCCATAATTCATGCTCTTCATGGTGGCATGCGGACTGTCTCTTTTCTGACACAGCCTGCGAAGCTCCTCACAGTAATGAGGGTCCCAGAAGCAGTAGAGGCAGGCCACGAAGATGGTCAGGGTGACCTCAGCCAAGAACTCGGCCACATTCCTTGCACACACTGGGCAGGGGCTCCAGGATACAAACCAGGTGACTTTGTACTCCTGGTCGCTATGCAGCTTCCAGTTGAGGAACCAATGAAGGAATCTCATCTCTGGGTGGTGTTGAGGCTTGGAACAGATCTCGCCTTGAAAGGTCCTTGCAACCAAAAGGGGCCTTAAGGTGTCCTTTGTTTTCATTTTCACTTCATAGCACAGCCAGATGGTATTCCAATGAGAATGGATGAGTCTATTATAAAAGTTGTAGAAGAATGTATCTGGATTCATTTGCGCCACCGTGTTTCTGGTCTGAGGCTTCATCTGTGGCCAGCTAGTCCCAACCATGATCTTGGTCTGGACCACTAGGGTTTCACTTTCTGCTACCAAGTATTTTGTATTTTCATAATTATTGCAGGGAAGATTTATTTCTTAGATTGTACCAGTCTAATGACTCACTGGAACCCAATGAGATACTAGAATTTCAGTACTTATAGATAGTACCATGAAATTTTTCTGTTATTAACAGAAATGAAAGAAAATGTCCATTTTAAAGATGGGAAAGAAGTGTTTTATGTATGTATAATTTCTTTTTAACATTGAGAGGCATAGACTTATTAGATACATGTGTTCTCTCTATTACTGACACCTGAGTAATTCTCTTAGGGAAAGTCCTTGGAAGTTTTCCATGCTCTTGTTAGCTTTATGAAGTACCCTCCATAGTATGCTATGTGAAATTTTCAAAATCTAACCCAGGCTATCTTTGATAGTGTGTACGGGCCACATAGGCTCTCTGGCTCTATCATCTTGCGTGGGTAGGCAAAGGTCATCATACATAGGATTTAACCATGAAAGTTCCTTTGCCTTTGATATTGGCACAGCCATATCTGTTATGGGACTCTTTTATATTTCCATTATTACCACTTGTGATGCATGACTGTCTCCTTTATGTAACAGGTCTGGGAAGTGGAAATATGTTCGGTACAAACCTACTTCTCTCCCCTCATTTCTATCTTCTCCTTCTTCCTGTTCTCCATTCTCACCTGTCTTCCTACAGTTCCATAATTTTTGGTAACTAGCTTAACAGAAGAGTTTTAGATGCTCATGCTTTTGGAGGGCACAAATATGGTACTGAATATGCATTTTGTTTATTCAGAATTATTATTTTTAGGAAATCCAACCAGTGGCAAATTAAAAATGTTGCTTAATGAGATTTTTAAACTTTCTACCCATACACTTATTTTAAACAATTTGTTGCTTAGACATATAATTTGTTAAGGTTGGTGGGACCTTTGAGGATGATTCTCTGACATGAGTATTTTTTAAATCATCATATCACAAGACTGTTGACATAGTTTAGATATTTGTCTATGCCTAAATCTCATGTTGAATTGTAATCCCCAATGATGGAGGTGGGACCTGGTGGGTGGCATTTGGGTCATGGAGGCAGATACCGCAATAGTTTAGTGCTTTCTTCTTGATACTGAGTGAGTTCTCAGAGATCTGGTTGTTTTAGTGTGTGGTGTTACCCGACTTCAAACTATACTACAAGGCTACAGTGACCAAAACATCATGGTACTGGTACAAAGACAGGCACATAGATCAATGGAACACAATAGGGATCCCAGAAATAAGGCCACACATCTAATATCTTTGACAAAACTGACAAAAACAAGCAATGGGGAAAAGACTCCCTATTCAATAAATGTTGCTGGGCTAACTGGCTAGCCATATGCAGAAGACTGAAGCTGGACCTCTTCCTTACACGCTATACAAAAATCAACTCAAGATGGATTAAAGACCTAAATGTAAAACCCAAAACTATAGAAACCCAGGAAGACAACCTAGGAAAACTATCCTAGACCTAGGATTGGGCAAAGATTTCATGACAAAGACACCAAGAGCAACCACAACAAAAGCAAAAATTGACAAATCAGATCTAATTAAACTTAAGAGCTTCTGCACAGCAAAAGAAACTAACAGCAGAATAAACAACCTACAGAATGAGAGAAAATATTTGCAAACTATACATCTGACAAAAGTCTAATATCTCGCATCTATAAGGAACTTACCAAATTTATAAGAGAAAAAGAACCACATTAAAAAGTGGGCAAAGGACATGAACAGACACTTCTCAAAAGAAGACACATATGTGGCCAACAAGCATATGAAAAAAAGCTGAATATCACTGATCGTTAGAGAAATGCAAATCTAACCTGCTGGGAAATTTCTAGTACTATAGCTAAAAGTTAGTTGGCAGCTTCTTATTGGTTAGCCTGAAGTGTCATTTCTCTCCCTCCCTCCCCCTCCCCAGCCACCACCCCCCGCCTCAACAGGGTCTAGCTCCGTTGCACAGGCTGGAGTGCAGCAGTGCAATCTCCGCTTACTGCAACCTTGGTTCAAACTATTCTCCCACCTCAGCCTCCCAGGTGGCTGAGACTACATATACATGCCACCACGCCCGGCTGATTTTTTATAGAGATAGGTTTCACTATGTTGGCCAGGCTGGTCTCAAATTCCTGAGCTCAGGTGATCCACCCGCCTTGGCCTCCCAAAGTGCTGGGATGACAGGTGTGAGCCACTGTGCCTGGCCTCATTTCTGTTTATTACAGGTGTTTACAAGAAACAGCTCAAGTTAGGTTTTGCTTATATTTACAAATCAAGGAAGGTTGAGATCACTTATGAGGCCTAACTGGCTTTGTCTGCTCAGGGATTCTTCAGGCCTGGCCTCCATTTTAACTTACTTTGACAGCTGCAAACCATTGTTTGAGGTCAGTGATTCTCAAGTTTTATCTGCATCAGAATCACCTGATGGACTTGTTAAAATATAGATTAGTGAGCCCCACCCAAGTTTCTGATTCAGTGGGTTGAGGGTGAGACTTCAAAGTTTCTAACAATTTCCCAGGTGGTGATGATGCTGCTGGCCCAGGAAATATCCTTTGAGAACTAGTGATTTAGGTTATACAGAGATCCCTTATCCCAGAAGAGGCCTTTTTGACTCGAAATAAAGGTAAACATTTGCTTAAGAGGATCAAAATTCCATGTCCGTGATTTTAACAAATTCTGGAGTGGACTTAGTTCTCCTGTCTCCCTCTCCCCACCATCCTCCCTTGTTTCCTGGGCTGCTGTTTCCTCCTGCCTGGTTAATGTTAATTCAGGCTCTTCTAGTTCATTTGTGAGCACAATTAACATGTCACAGTATTATCCAAAACAGATGGTTCCCTCCCATGAGTAATTCTGGTGCCAGAGGTTAAGATAATGATTATTTTCACCTCGTTATTAAATACACATCACAATTATGACACTATAATAATTCTCTGGAATATTTCTCTAATCTCAAAATGAAACTCAGATATCTTTGGATCTTTGCCTCTATCTTTTTCTGCTTGACTTTTCCCCAGTGTTTTCCTTTTATGCCTGATTTTTGCAGTCAGGACATTTTATCAAATGTCCTCAAAACGTGTATTTAGTAAGTTCAATTTGTATTTTCGCTCTGGTAGGGGAGGAGAGGGTTTGTGATATGTCAGGGCTAAGGTAAGTTTGAGGGTAAAATTAAAGAAACTATTTGTAAAAAGTATATTTAATGACTGATTCTAATAACTTTTTCATCCTCTTTTTCCTATTTAGCGGTTGTTCAATGGCTAATTATTGTCATATTTGTTTGGAATGTGTAAAACTCAGTTTCTGTAAGAATGTCACCCTGGATGCAGCTGAAAAACTTTGCAAAAATTGTAGACAGTAAGAGAATGTTGATTGTGCCCACTTGTGTCTCTTTGAGTCTTACATGTCATCATAAAGTGTAGAGGATCCCTGACATTCGCTGTGTACTGGTTTGTGTTTCTTCATAAGCCCTCATGGTTGTTTCCATTTTACTAACACAGAGTTGTAGCAATCATTAAATATTTCCCAGAATATAGCTTCTGGTAATTTCATTTAAGGATAAACCAAGTTTTCATGACCTTTCCAGTAGCATAAAATACATTAGTTTCTTTGTACTTTGGAATTCACATAAAAATTCTAAAGTAAAAAATATTTGGAAAAAATTAAAACCAAAAATCTGTCAGTCATGGGTGACTTTTGATTTTGGAATACCATTTATCAGAATTATATAATAAGCTAATGGGGAAAAAATTCAGGACCTGTCAGAGTTGATGTTAGCATTTCATGTATACTATATTTCAAAAATTATGTGAGTAGTCTTACTCTGCTTGAGGTTTTTGTAATGAATCTTTCATAAAATTGGGGCATCCATTGAGCAAACACTTCTGTAGGGCACTCTGGGCCTTATTAGATTTCAAAACAAAATAATAGAACAATTTGAGAAAATTTGGTTTGTCAATTATAAATGTCTGGAAAAAATTAACCAATAATTTGTTTATTGCTGGAAAACATCAACTGAGAACTGAAAGGACATAATAAAATCTACTTGTCTTTAAAAATCAGTGGCATTCTCAACAAAATATGTTGGGAGGGAAAGAATGCCTTTTTCTACTATTTCATTTTGTGGCAAATGTGACCTCTTCCTCTTTTTTATTTTTTTAACTAGCCCTCCCCACCTATCTTCTATGATATTAAAGACTTGCAAAATCAAGGAATTCATGTAATATCATTAGAAACCTTGATTCTGTATTTCTAATTACATTAGTGAAAAATCAGTGTCCTGGTTCATTGTTAATCTAAGACTCAAAGGTATTGGTAAAAAGAGATTTATTTGAATATCTCATCTTTTAAATGCTGAATTACATAATGCTTTCCAGAGGACTAGGAATGGCTTTAGAATTTTTTAGATCTCTTTCTGACTTATCTAGTTTGTATCATTTTGTACTTCTAGGAACAGGAGTTTTAATCTTTTTTTGTCTAAAAAATAGATGAATATTTTAACATCTCTGCATTTTATAGCATGGGTAACTACTTTCATGTCACATAGAAAATGTATATTTCTCCATTATTTTGAATTACTATGAATGTATCTCTGATCTAACGATGTACATATTATATTCCCTAGAGCTAAAATAAATGTTTGAGTGTTTTGAGATCAAATTCATAGGCTTCCCTAAGAAGAAATCTATTGTGGTCTCAGAACATAATTTGTCTTTAGTCAGAATATAAGCTTGAGAAAAAGTGAGTGTGTCCTAAGCAGCCATAAAAGAGTAAAGTAAGAACAAGGGAACGCTGACATGCCTATCATTCTGATAGTTCTAACATTAGAACGAGCATAACTGCCTAAGAGTTGTTTATAATGTATAAACTCTGTCTACTTTCAAAAAGACTTTGAGACTTTTTATAGGTAAAAACATATACATGCACCCACATACAACTGAGCAATTCAAAATTATATTAAGAAAAAGTTGACTGGAAACCAGTTAGAGAAAGAATATAAATAGAATTAGGGTTAAGCTGAGAAATGCTGTTTAACACTAGACGTCTATACAGACTCCATTCAGACTGTAAGTTGGAATTTGCTGGAAGGTAAGGCAACATGGGGAACAAAATAAACATCATGGTCCTTTCTGCCATCTAAAAAGAGGCCTACCAATACTTCACAAAGGCAAAATTAATACTCCTTAAGGAGAATTGATCATAGGATCCTTCTATAATATTAAGAAACTGAAAAGCTTAATCAGACAAAATTGCATAAGGTTATGCAGATGATGATCAGTTGGTATTTACTTATTTTTAAAATTTTAAGTAAGTTATTAACAGAATTTCCAGTCTTCCTGCATTCTACCACCATTTCCTTGTGACTACTTCACTTCTTTCCCTACAATTTGGTACTATGTTTCTAACTGGTTTAAACACATTTTAGAGGTGTTGAAGGTAAAAGACTGGTTTGAAAATAAGAAGATTCCTTGCCAATGCATAAAGTTAAATTGTACTATAAGAATACATGAAATATGTTCGTCCTTCCCTTCTTCCTACATTGCAGGGTTGACAAACTTTCTGTAAAGGGCCAGAGGGGAAATATTTTAGGCTTTGCAGGCCATATGTGTGTCACAGCTTCTCAGCCATTTTCTTGCAACACGAAAACTAATGAGTGTGACTGTGTTACAATAAAGCTTTATGGACACTGAAATTTGAATTTCATATAATTTTCACATATTCTAAAATATGTTTCTTTTGATTTTTTTTAAGCATAAAAACCATTTCAGTGAATGGTTTCAGCTATATTCCTTTGGAATATAGCTGGTTTTAAACTTTAGATACTCTCAACATCCCCTCACTAAACACAGAGAGGTGACAAATTCTAAAAACAGACTTGTAATTTTCATGTTTGATACTATATTTCTCCTTTGAGAAACAGTAAGTACTAGTCATAGTCCAGGTTATTTGAAAGACTTTTCATGCATTTATCATGCTTAGAATCCATGCTCAGCTGTATCCACTC